ATACATGCCCACAAGCAAAATTGACCACATGGAAAAAATCCCACACAGAATAAAGCCCACAAAGAAAAATGCTCACACTGAATATTATACACATATAGTAATTTTTTCCATTTATGAGCATGAATATGGTGTATTACCTACATTTTACTTTGTTATTGATATCTTATGATTAAAATATTTCATATTCATATGTAACAATTTGTATTGTGATTTTATAATGTATAATTAAATAATAATTTTGCTATGTCATAAGTATACTAATGCACTGCTAAACAAATGTGGCCTGTGTATGTAGAGGGCTTTAACTCCTTAACCCCTTAAGGACACATGATGGAAATATTCCATCATGATTCCCTTTTATTCCACAAGTTGTGTCCTTAAGGGGTTAAGGACAGAGGCAATTGTACAAGTACTGACCAAAACACAACCTAGAATTTGAGCTACATATGTCTGTTATAATATCTGTTACCATAATTTACCTCTTTTATATTAAGTGTACCCACACAATACAAATTGTTGCATATGAGATATTTTAATCATAAGATATCGATAACAAAATAATATATCTATTCATGCTCATAAATGGGAAAATTACTATATGTGTATATTATTCAGTGTGCACATTTTTCTGAGTAGGCATTTCTCCGTAGGGGCATATTTCTTGTGGGCATTTATGACAGTAGATTTTATTTTGTGTGCTATTCTAATGTGGGCTTTTTTCATGTGGGCTTTTTCCATAGATCCCTTTTTGCAAGCAGCTATTTTTTTTTACTTTTTTACTTCAGTGCATAGGGATCAACAGTGTTTCAGCCTGCTTGAATGCCTTAATCAAGTGGCTTACTGGGTGTCACACAGACAGCTGCTAGAGGCTTCTGACAGAAATGTATTCAATAATTAAATGAGTGTTCGTTTAAGGTCCTACCAGGGCATCCCATGCTCAGATTGCTGCAGCCCTGATGTAGTATTCTCAGTTTTGGGAAATGCCCAATGTTTGTTTTGCACAACACAGGTGAACTTAATAACATGTTTGTGCTATGTTTGCTGTTGACTTGTCTCTGGTGTGTGGAGAGACTGCTAGTGAAATTTTCTTGTGGATGCTGTTGTGGTGTTGTGTGTGAATATAAAGCTGTATGTTTGTAGTGCCCTTAGTGTAGCCTTGTGGTCTCTTCTTTCCTTTGGCCAGGGAGGGGAATATGCTAATCACTGGTGGTATAGTATTTTGGATATCGAGTGCTTTTCTTTTTGGAGCTCAGGTATTTACAAATAGTGTCAGAACATTGTATTTCCCCCTCAAGCTCTGGCCATTCAGAGTGCTGTGGGTTAACATTGCAAACAGTTTGCACACAGGTGAGGTGATGACCAGCGATTATTTAGCTTCCCCAGCATCTGGATTGCTGCTCTGTGAGGGTGATCATTATTTTCTACTCTGGTCCATGAAGGGACAGAGAAGCCGGGTCTGACCAGTATGGACCAACTGGGGAGGGCCATCGATCTCCCTTGGGGGCCTTGAGCTATGGCCCTCATGGCCCACCAGGCATTTTGCCTAATGACCGCTTCAAGCCTGCTATTGTATGTATGGAATCTCCATGTGAAATATGCTAACAAACAGTTTGTCTCAGTACTTCTCTGTGAAAAGCATTGGATTCAGATGAATTTAATAACATTTTTAGGGTTTTTTTTTGTATAATATTATAAAGTTATACTGAAACATATCTAATAAAATTAATAAATAGAAAATTACTTTCTCATCCTCTGGGTGGTATTTTTGTGTGTATATTTGTCATTCTCATGTCCTGTGCGGTATCTTAGTTGTTTCTAGAACTGCATTAAAATGGAAAGTGATCTCAGATGTCCCATTTGGAAGATGCTGAAGCCACTCTCTCAACTTGTGGGTTACAGCCCCAGGTGCACCCATCTCAACTGGTACTACTGCTGTTTTCACTTTCCACATACTTTCTAGCTCCTCTTTCAGTCCTTTTTATTTGTCCACGTTCTCATGTTTCTTCTATATATTGAGACTGCCAGTAGTGACTACCACTGTAGTCTGCTGTTCCTTGTTTACCACCATGATGTTTGCTTGGTTGGCCAGTAATTGTTTGTCTGTCTGCATCTAGAAGTCCCACAGAATCTTAGCCCTGTGAATCTCAACTACCGTGTATACATCCCAGCTAGCGGGTCCAGCCCATATTCTCTGTAGATGTTTTGGTACAAAATCACAGCAACTTGTTTTTGCCTCTCAGTGTACAGTGAGGGAAAAATATATTTGATCCTCTGCTGATTTTGAACGTTTGCCCACTGACAAAGAAATGATCAGTCTATAATTTTAATGGTGGGTGTATTTTAACAGTGAGAGACCGAATAACAAACAAAAAATCCAGAAAAATGCATGTCAAAGTTATAAATTGATTTCCATGTCAATGAGTAAAATAAATATTTGATCCCCTATCAATCAGCAAGAGTTCTGGTCCCAGGTGTCTTTTATACAGGTAACGAGCTGAGATTAGAAGCACTCTTAAAGGGAGTGCTCCTACTCTCAGCTTGTTACCTGTATAAAAGACGTCTGTCCACAGAAGCAATTAATCAATCCGATTCCAAACTCTCCACCATGGCCAAGACCAAAGAGCTGTCCAAGGATGTCAGGGACAAGATTGTAGACCTACACACGGCTGCAGTGGGCTACAACACCATCGCCAAGCAGTTGAAAAGGCAGTGTGTGCATGAAAATGCCTGCTGCATATAATGATTATACTCACCAGAACAACTACATTAAGCTGTAGTTGTTCTGGTGACTATAGGATGCCTTTAAGAATATATATATATATTTAATGTTGCTCAGGAGAAACATGGCTTTCATTTCACATCAGATATTTATATATGAAACATAAATTCATATAAAAACAAATATGAATGGTAACTTTGGATCTGTGGCTAAGTGGCTACTAAAAAGGACTGGAAATATTCCATTTTGAATACACTGAATAAAATCTAAAAGAGTTTGAGAAATTAGGAAATTTTCTGCATGGCATTTTAATGGTGGATGTCATCATAGTCTTGGCTTTTATCTACTATAGTAAAATACACATATTTGTATTCAGCAATGTCTCACAAGTACAAGAGTACCCCCTCGTACAGGTATCATGAGGTTTTGGAAAGTTACAGGGGCAAATATAGGCCTTTCTGCTTTTCAGTTTTTCCAAATTTGCCAGGTTGGTTTGCTAGACCTATATGCCTCTGAGACCCTATGGCAGCCCAGGAATGGAAATTAACCCCATACCTTTTGCAAATGTAGACAACCCAAGGTATTCAAAATGGGCTATTTCCAGTCTTTTTTATTAGCCACAAATCCTGGCAAAAGTTAGCATTCATATTCGTTTTTTTGCATTTTCACCGATGATATCATTAGCATTAAACATTTTACTTCTTTTTAAACACTCATATTTGTGTTCAGTGATGTCTCATAAGTACAACAGTGCCCCCATGTACCATTTATATGGTGTTTTGAAAAGTTACAAGGTCAAATATTAGGCTTTCTCCTTTCAGTTTTTACACATTGAACTTTGCCAGATTGGTTATATTGCCTTTGAGACACTATTCCAGCCCAGGTATGAGAATTAACCCATTATGGCATACCATTTTCAAAAGTAGACAACCCAAGATATTCAAAATGGGGTATGTCTGGGGGCGGAGCTTGGACGCCATACTGGATGGTCGCAAGTAGCTTGAGTTCCTGACTAATTCCCAATTAAGAATGATTTTGGGGGTGAAAAGACCCTATAAATGACCTTTTCCTTCTTGGTACCCATGTCTGGCACTACCTGGGCAACTGTGAAGCGAGTTCCAGATCCTGTTATTCCTGTGACAAGCGGCTGCAGCCTCCAGCACTATGATCTTGCATATACTACTAGAAAGCATTCATAAAAAAGAAAACAAATATTGTTAAAATACAGCAATTTTGTAAAATTGGTGTGATAGCACTGAGAAAATATGCAGCTGTATAGGAAATAATAGCTTTGCAGATTACTTCATGGAACTCAAAGTCTGCTCACGTTCTCTAGCCTATATTATAAAATCATTCATCTAAAGCAGCAAAACAAAAAATGTTTCAGTGGATTGCATATTTGAAAATAATTTCTTGTTTCAGCAGCATGCTGTTTGCAAATGCAATTTGCAATAGCTGTTTCAGTGCAACAAAACTGACATTACCATAGAATTGTATTTATTTTTTTACAACTTACTAATGTACTGTTGCTGAACTGGTTTAAGGCATAGATAGTAATTTCCTGACTTGCTGGCATATAATACAGAGTATACATGTTTTTTTAAACAAATGCCTGCTATAGTTGCTGCCAAAAATATGGAATCATTGAATTTTTATTTTTTTTAACATATTCTTATAATATGCTCCCTTAATAAATGTTCATGTTCTACCTACCAATTTTTCAACTTTTTTTCCCTCTAGCTTATTTTAGAGCAGTGGTTCCCAACTAATTTTTCCAGTGGAACTCTGTGACATAGTGTATCAACATCGCAACAAGCACACATACACTCTCACTGACAAACACACATACAAACTGCTTAACAGACACACTCACAACTTATTTCATTTTTAAAATTTCTCTCTGTCCAGCCTCCCTACCTTTGGGAGTGCTGACATGGAGTCTCTATTTCTCTGTGGTCCAGTGGGGCTGCTGGGCTGAGCGGCTGGCATGCAGTCCCTGAAGTCCAGTGGGGCTGCTGGGCAGAGCGGCGGGCGGCGAGGGAGCAGTGATCTTCCTGCTCAGCTCCCTCATTTTCCTCTTAGTGATGCCGGAGCCAGAGTGATGTCATATTCCGGCTCCCAGATCACTGCTGCACGCACCGCAATAATGGCCGCTGCGATAATTGAAGTGCTCAGCTCCCTCGCCGCCCGCCTCAACTATCACGGTGGCCATTTTGTTTCCTGAAATTTTGGCAGAACCCCATTTGTGTTCTCACGGAACCCCAGGGTTCTGCAGAACACCAATTGGGAAACGCTGCTTTAGAGGAATATGTAAAAACACTTAATTAGCCTCCTATTCTCAAATGTTCTTGACCACCGTGAAATTGTTTTTGTCCCATTCACTTGACTAAAAATTTGTCTAGTGAAGCCTTGCAATGACCTGATCATGCAATATGTACTCATCCCTGCACAGTTTTCCAAAGGTCTCTGCTTCTCCCCCCACCTATCTTCCAGTGTCTATAGGTTTACTGAAAATACCATTCCTTGGCCCGAACTCTTTTCTATCTCAAACTCTTATAAAAATAACATGATTTGCTTTTCATGCTTGAATAAACAAAATGTACAAAGTTAATTGCCAAATATACCTATCATTCTCATTCAAATTTGCCTAGTACTGTCTGGTAGTGCAAGTTCAATTCCTGTCAAAGTCAACACAGCCTTTCATCACTTTTGAGGTCAAAGGATTAATACCATTCAGCTAGATTATAAGAATATAAATATTGCAGAAGATGGTTTGCATCTAATAAAGCTGAATTTTTGCAAATATAACTTCTTTACCTAAACTGTCAGTTGCTGTTTTATATACTCTTTTAATAGAGTTTATATAGAAACATGAAATATCAATAAAAAAAAAAAATAACAAAAAGGTCTGCTCATAGTTTGCAACTTGTGAGATTAACTGATCTCCCTCCCTCATAGGTGCCACCTTCATTTCCCTTCGCCACTCCTGGCAACCTCTTCTGCCAGGAGTTGAAGCGTGCCCAATATCTATTGGTCTACTCATGCTTGTTTAGGATGCCAATTGGGATCTTACAACATCAAGTTTGAAGCAAGCTAGGTCCTACTACTGTAGATAAAACATTGCACATTATAAAGCAAACAATCTGCCTTGGATCTTATCTAATGTTGTGCCTGGTCTTCTCTTTGTTTAGCTACAGGACTGATCGCATTGGATTTTGTTATTATTAATATATAAAGAACAAAAAGCAAAGCAGTGTATATAAGGCGCTTTAACAGAAATAATAGCAGTCTAAATTGTGGTATAAGCAGCTATTGCACACTTAATGGATATCCCAAAAAATCCACTAAAACAAAGAATATAGAAAAAAGGCTAACTCAGTGTTTAGGTGATCAACCCCACCACCCAGCACACAGAGTCCAAAGGTGCAGCGCGTTAAATATATTTGCACTTACCCCTTGGTATATATAGGGGATTTTTCTACATGCAAAAAAAACAGAAATATATATAATAGTGTAATATTGTATATTACTTTAAAGGTGTGTATACAGAAAAACTCAAATTTTTTAGAGCCTTTTTCGATATCGGCTCTAACAAGAGGAGAGTATGGGCTTTTTAGGTGGCACCAGAATACTTCTTTCTTGTAAAACTGAATATTTTCTCCCAGCAGAGATATGGAGATAAAGCAAAAAGAGATACAATCTAGGTGTATATTTGATATAAAATTGTCTGCTCACCTTATTTGGAGCCTGTTAGATAACTGGCTCCAAATTTCCACTTAGTGTCAAATTCCGAGGGTGACACTTCCCTGTTGGAACCAGAGTAGTAAATGCAGGATAAAGGTAAAAAGAAGACTTTAAATAAAAAACTATGATTTATCACAAATAAACAAAATAGTGGGTAAAATCACTATAAAAATACAAATTAAAAGGCAATGAGTCGTTCTTATGAGTCCGTCCAAGACGTGTGTGGCGAAACCGACCTCGCCACTGGGAATTGGAGAGGACTGATTGCCAGCCTCCTGCCATGTGACTATGGCCCCTGGGATGTATTGTCCTTTAAAGACATGATTTGGGCATAATGGATTTGTGTTGTGCTGCTGCTGGCCCTTTAAGAACCATCTGGGGACATACTGTGGAGTTACTGGGTGGCCACCATTTCATGTATCAAAGGCACATGGTGAGAACAATGGATAGCGGCCATTTTAACTCACAGACACTGTTTGGACTTTTCTACACGGTGCCATCTCGCCAGTATTTGGTGCACGAAGATATCGTTCAGTAGTTTTAAACTATACAACAGGGGACACATTTAACAGTAATTATTTTTCATATAGCCTGTATATGTTCTGCGGAATCTGCATTAAACTGCATCTTCCAAACTACTGAACGGATCTGGGTGAATTTGGGATATGTGGTTCACCCAGATCCCCCGGTTCAGAGGATTTTTATGGGGTTATTGCATGTTTTGGGGTCCCTGTGATATGTTTTATAATACTGTATTTCTCTGCCTGTGATAATTATATTAACCATTGTGTTCAGTAATCATATCACAGGCAGAGGGGAGGATTTTGTGTGGGAGTGTTCTGTATGTATTGTACGGATTGATTGGTTGTATTTCAAAACCCTGTGGGCAGTACTATGTTTGTGGATTGTGAATAAAAGAGGCTGTATGTGCCAGTACAGACAGTTCTGCTTGACCTCAAAACGAAGTGTCGTCTCGTTATTGGGGGAATTGGATTGTATGCTGATTGCCAGGAGTGTAAGCTGATTGTATGCTTTTCCTGTCCTATCCTGTTCAGCTGCTTACAGCATTCATATGCTTGAGAGCATTCGTATGCTTCTCCGGTTCGGTGATTGTGGTGTCTACTGCAGTGCTTGGAGTCCTCAGGAAGCGCTAGGAGCATCCTTCAACGGAGGTACCCAGTCGGGGTGCCAGGTGATCCGTTACAACGTGTTTCGCCAGTAAGGGCTTTCTCAATTGAGAATATTTAAAGCGCTGCACCTTTGGACTCTGTGTGCTGGGTGGTGGAGTTGATCACCTAAACACTGAGTTTGGCTTTTTTCTTTATTGTTGATATATGCCTTCTTATTTCTTTATAACTTAATTTCGTTACAATGTAAATGTTAATTCTATTAGGTCGTAATACCTTCGAGGTAGTGCGTTCAGGAGCAAATTCACTTATGTATGGCTTAATTGATACCGTTGGATATAGTAATAAAATAACTAAAACACTGGATAATAATTTCACTGGGATGTATGGTATGTATACCTTTAAATCTGCTATAAGCAGATTCTTTTGGTTACACGCCAAATGATCTGCTTAATATAAAGCAGTTACTTGATACAGAATAACCTAAAAGGAACTGGTTATCTGTATGATATTAATATACACACTGTTATGTATAGTGTGTGTTTCACTTTAAGTAATCTGTAAGCATACTGAATGGTGCAAAAACACAATTAAACTTTCAGTGGAGAAATTTAAAAAAATTCATAATCTCTGTGCTTGGTATAAAAATACAGTCACTTAAAATATAAAAAATATATAAGAGAAATTCCAAAAAAACACTTTTAAAATATGAGTTGTTTTAAAAAATAATGTAAAAGTTTATTCACAATACAAAAATAATAAATGAATAATTCAAAATGGAAAAAAATATCACTGCTGGTCTAACGCGTTTCGTGGGTGTCAGCTTGTCTCTGAGGAAGTGGGGCTGACACCCACGAAACGCGTTAGACCAGCAGTGATAGTGAGCCGGTTATGAAGAGCAGCCAGACGCCAGCAGAAGGGATTCTTCTCTTTCCCCACACGGCACTTATGACCTGGGGATTAACGGACTGCCAGCACCGGAGTATCAGAGTGAGGTTTGGCACGCACACAAACCTCCCCAGCAGCCGGCAAGTAAAATCATTCCGTTCTGTTACAAAAGTATCCACTGTAATCCTCATCAACTACAGTGTGTAAAAAGTTATATGTCTAATATCTGCATTGGCTGATGACTTGCTGACCGTCCCTGGCTCCTATTTTTTGTATTTTTTTCCATTTTGAATTATTCATTTATTATTTTTGTATTGTGAATAAACTTTTACATTATTTTTTAAAACAACTCATCTTTTAAAAGTGGTTTTTTTGGAATTTCTCTTATATATTTTTTATATTTTAAGTGACTGTATTTTTATACCAAGCACAGAGATTATGAATTTTTTTACATTTCTCCACTGAAAGTTTAATTGTGTTTTTGCACCATTCATTATGCTTACAGATTACTTAAAGTGAAACACACACTATACATAACAGTGTGTATATTAATATCATACAGATAACCAGTTCCTTTTAGGTTATTCTGTATCAAGTAACTGCTTTATATTAAGCAGATCATTTGGCGTGTAACCAAAATAATCTGCTTATAGCAGATTTAAAGGTATACACACCATACATCCCAGTGAAATTATTATCCAGTGTTTTAGTTATTTTATTACTATATCCAACGGTATCAATTAAGCCATACATAAGTGAATTTGCTCCTGAACGCACTACCTCGAAGGTATTACGACCTTTTTTATCTCCAGACAGGTTTTGGGTGTATCCCTGTCCCAGTTCAGTTTTGAGCTATTCACTCCAAGTCGGACTCCCTCATCTTTCTGTGTTGCACTAGGCAGACCAGTTCTTATTTATTCTCGTTAATTCTATTAGAATTCGAAATAATTCCAACACAAGTAATAGCAATGAGTCTGTCACCTTTTCCTCTCAATTGCCATGCAGTTGAGTACATCTAGTTTCAGTTTGTTTCCCAGTTCACGTCCTTGTTCTTACTCTGTACTACGTATTGTCAATCTAATAACATTGTAACCTAATTTGGCTTTGTATCTTTGGCTATTTGTAACTGTATGTTCACTTCTTGAACCTCAGTGTCTAATATACATTTTTTGTCTAATGCTCAGTTTTTTATCTATAAAAATAAAAAAAAACTTCAAACCATACCTTGAGTTCCTGTCTGTTCTATACCTGTTTGAATCTATTTTACTGTATCTATCAGTATGTTTGTTGTTTAGTTTTTTAACCTTTAATTTTGTAGTTTAATTGCATAATCCCTGATAAGTATAGAAATGACATAATTTAACCAATAATGTCGTTACGACATTCTATGCCATAATTAAATGGGCTTAAAAGCCATTACAGCAGCATAGAACACGATAACGGTTTTCAGCCCCTGAGTCTCTGTGTACTTACCTACCCTGACGAACCGCTTCGGAGGTGCTGCTTGACAACCCAGGTAGTATTCCTCTGGCAAATCCAGCCCTTCTAGCCGTTGGATTGCAATGCCACATTTCATTTTGCGAAAATAATGCCTCAAAACTCCCTTGGCGTGTCGGTCCTTTTTTTTAATTTAGGTGTGTATGTTGCCGTATTGTGCTTGTATTATCCATGGCTGCTGCAGTTGCTTTGTAACATCATATTTGTGTGTATGTAGGCTTTTATACTGTATGAGTATTTTGTGGTATTGTTTATGATACCTAGGAATGCG